TATTGACAAACACCACTTACGTCAGTACTCAGGAGTTTACGATATGAAACGACTGACAAACTACATTCTATCAAAACTTTCAAAATACCCCTTCAAAAAATATCCATCAAACACTTTATTAGTTTGTGATGATTTCGCTGGTAAAGGTTTAGTGTCAAAACCAGACTCACCATTAGCTAACATCATTACTAAAGTCAGACATTACCACTTAACTGTAGCAATACTTATGCAAACATGGAGGTTTTTAGCTTTAAACATAAAACGTCTCATAACTGACTTCGTTATCTTTCAAGGTTTCTCACGTTATGATATTGAACTCATTTGGAAACAGTCAGGTATAACATTACCTTTTGAAGAAATTTGGGAAGCATATAAGTCTCTCATCTCTCCTCGTTCATACCTTGAGATTCATATCATGACTAATACCATTAAAGTCAAAAATATTCCATGGGAACGACCAACATTGTTTTAAAGTTTAACCTTCAATTGACTGATGGTAAACAAATTCCATGCATCTCTGTCGCCATTTCTGTAATATTTTTGCTGTCATTCATATCATCCACTTCCCCATCCGTTAGCTTTTGAGGATATGCGTTAGAATAGCTGTTCTTAAATGAAGGCTTTTCACCTTTGAGAGCATAAACTCTATAACTTTCTGCATACTTTATGTTTGAACCTCCTGAGCATCATTGACATAAATTTTTATAGGCTTCCACCCTTTGTTCATGTTCCTGCTTCTTCCCTTAGCTCTTTTGTTCAGTAGTTCTACATCTTTATACACAGCACCTGTCTCAGTGAATTCAACAATATTTTCATTCGTTAGCTTTACATTCAAACCCTTGTCGAGTATATTGTTCATTTCATACATATAAAAGGTTTTATTCTATATGAAATGAGAAGCAAATCCATCTTAGCTGGTGCCGTTAATGTTCCAATTGAACCAACATCAAATGTTGACTCACGAACGACAAACAATATTGTCATAAAGAACTATAGTTCAGAGTGTTTGAAAGAAAAAGAACCAGAACTTAAGTCGGTGAATTTAAACACAGCTTCAAACGCTAACGCTACATCAGATGTTAAGTTAGAGTATCCACCACTGGACCAAATTTTTCAAGAGAAGCCAACGACAACCTTACACAATGTTCAAACAAATCCTTCAGATAACGTAGACCATTACCTTCTTCAGTTATAACCAAACAATTTTACTCAAAGACGATAAGAAGCTTTTGACAAATCTTATAAGCAAGAAACCAAATAATTCTAACAAAGGAGGACCTTGAAAATGTTATCTCACGAATAACGGGGAAACAATGTGTCATTGACTATCTCGACCTGAAATCGAATGCTGTGGTCAACTCCACTATTCATGAAAATAGGTAACATCCGCATCATTGAAACACCAGGAACTACAGGAGTTGAGTTTAAGTATAAATATTCGAATGAATATACAAAACTTTCAACAGAATATAAACTTTGCTTGAAATATGTTTTAGTAAATTAAAGCAGTCAGGACCTTCGGTCTTGGCGCTTTGCGCCGTCAGTCAAAAAATTTCAAGTTAGCAATTTGTAATATCTATCCAAAACTTCTTCAACACTATCGAACTCATCTTCATAATGCAAACCTAATCTTATTGACTTGGTGCAGTTTCACTAACACAATATTTTCTGTTCTCTTGACTGACATAACTAACTCATTTGTTTCATCAAACAGCAACAACCAAAGTTCATGACCTAATACATAACATTCATACTTTATTTTTAGCTCTGAGTTCTCTTGTAAGCTGTTGCATTTAATATTTTCTAAAAAGTCAACTTCAACAGTCATTCGCACTGGTGCCTTCAGTTCTACAGGCTCTCCTTGAAAGTCAAACAAGTCTGAATTGCATGTCTTTCAAATTATGAGGACTAATGCGAACCCATTTACCTAAATGAGTTGCTATGACAGGAACGTTTGGAATGAACATTGAATTGACTGCATAACAGAAGGATTTTATATTCTACTGAACTTTACTATTACTCCTGAAATAATGTGACATTAGCTATTTTAGACTCAATGTACAAACAATTGCCATAACATACGTATGGAACAGATTTCATCTCAATGTTTTGTCAACACTTTTCAAAGGAATGTCATATGGTATGCTCCAGAAGCAATTGAACTCTATGACTCATTCGTGTTATCTTAAACTCCTTCGCATAACTGAACTTCAATGTTCCCTCAGAAGAGAGTTCGACATCTATGTTGTCAATAGTTTCTTCTTTATGAGAGTATCTATGACTCCAGCAATTTTATCTATTCTATACCCAGCTCTGTTAGGAAATGTTATAAACTTCTTTTGTCATCTATTTCAATCTCTATGAATCTGTTTCTCTGTTATGACAAAAGTTGCGATAGTATTGAAGTCAACAACTCTGAAAGCAAGCGCTTCATTCTGAAGACCTAAGTTTGTTTGTAGCTTTACTGTCCCGTATTCGTTTGGGTCTGTACTTTGCAAATAGAACAACATTTTATTCTATTAAAATATGACTATTGCTGCATATGCGTATGAAACAAATGAAGCAAGAAGAGCACATGAACTAGTAAACGAAAACTCAACTTTAACCATTGAAGGCAATGATTTAGTCATTGACGATGGAAAACTAAAAAAGTCATTTGATTTCGATATTTTAACACGTATGACCCATTCATTACAATAAGTAAAGTTCCTATCATAAATGATGGAACGGTGCAATATATAAATTCTACAGTAGATGCCTCATTAGTGAAAGTATTAAATGTTCTCATTGAATTACTAAAGAGCTTTCGATTTGACGACAACATTAAATGCCTAAAGAATTTAGTCATGAATGAGAAACAAATTCTCGGCGTTGCTGGTAACAGTAATGATGTACACCTTATGACATTAGAATATTATAACGAACATAAAGATGAACTGAAAGGAGAGAAGGGTGACACCGGACCTCAAGGACCTCAAGGCGAAAACGGTTTGGATGGTGAAGATGGAAAGGATGGAAAAACTGCTAAATCATGGATATGGAACCTTATAAATGGTTTAACAGCTGCTTCATATGGAGTTCTTCAATACCAAATCGGAAAGATATGGGCGGTACTTGGTGAAGAAGTTTTAGATGACGTTAAAAATGCTTTGAACTTCATTTCAAATGGTTCGGATACTATTAAAACTTTATCTGGTTGGATGCAAGAAAAGGAGTCAAATAGATACTGTAAGACGTATAGCAAACAATGCACGTACGGATTGGATACTTTACAAGAAGCACAAAATACACTAAAGGAAGCAAATGATATTCTTGGCTCAGTATCAGACATGCATGAAGATTGGCTTAAAGGTATTGACAAATCTTTAAAAAATCACAGTCAGTCTATTGCTGACTACAAGAAAAGTATAGATTTTTTACATAGTGCTATGGACGTACATGATGGAAGCATAAGGAACTTACTTAATGCTAACAATAACTTACCAGGAACTATTAAAGCATTTATAAAGTCCTTTGTAAAACCTGGTGCTCTAACATTTAGGTCTTTGAGAGCAAGAGCATTGAAGTCAAGAGATGCAGAAACTCCAACAGAACCTACAGAAGGAACTGAAACAACAGAAACTCCAGAAGAACCACCAAAACCAACAGCTAATGAAATATTGTTCGAATATTTTCCAAGGTACTCTGTTCTCATTGCATACATTCAAGAAATACTTAAGAAAGCAGACTTGACTTTAGGTGATGATGAAAGTTCTGTATATCTTTCGTTCCAGTTTCAAATAGCAGAACTTTTGAGACAGATATGCTTAATGTATGACAACATCTCTGATTTCACAAGATATGACGACGACCATGACCCCGAACACGGTGAAGAAGAAGTTTTACAAACATCCATTAAGACAGGAAAGGTTTTAACTCAAAGTCTCATTATTGACACCAAAGATGGCGAAGTGGACGTTCTTCAAGAGCTGAAGAAAAATACTTCTTCGGGAGGTGGTGGTAGGCATGAACTTGAAATAAATGAGATAGAAGAGAAATTAGCCGAAAAAGCAGATAAAAACCATGTTCATTATATAAGTTCAGATGAACAGATTATAACGGATTATCATGGATATTTAACACGAACTGAAGAAAAAGTGAAGACGGAAGATGTTAATGAAAGAAGATATAAATACATTCGTGCTAAAGGTTATGACATAAGCTGTACTGTACAGTATGACACGGGTAAAGCACAAGAAGCATTTGGTTATAACGATGAAATTTATGCCTCTAGTTTCTTTGTTAACGGTGTATTAGTTGAACCAAGATTTACTTTGAGAGTTAAGGCAAAAATAACTTTTGAAGATGCTATTAAAAGTAAAGCTGACAAGAACCATACACATGAATCCTTCACTACTGTTAGAGCAGACGACATAATATTGAACTATGATTTGGGTTCAAGTGCACCTTTAGAGAATCCGAGTACAAGCGTAAAAGATACACTAAACAATTTAGATAACAGATGTATGAACATTGAAGGTCATGCCAGAAACTTTGAAGCATACGAACTACCAGCAATGTTAGATAAGAAAGCTGACAAAGAACATACACATAACTCCTTCTCAACTGTTGCTATAGAAAGTATTGAAGGAACGGTTGGCGGAACTGGTGGGGATGCATTATATTATAAACCTCCTAACTTTCCACAAGGTTTAACATCGAATGAAAACATAACAACGAAGAAAGACATTAGCTGTAAAAATGTTTATGTCATGGATGATGAAAATAATGTTAAATTCACTGCTCAAGATTTATATGATAAGAAAGCCGACAAGAACCATACACATAAATCCTTCACTACTGTTAGAGCAGACGACATAATATTGAACTATGATTTGGGTTCAAGTGCACCTTTAGAGAATCCGAGTACAAGCGTAAAAGATACTCTTAACAATTTAGATAACAGTTGCAGGAATATCGAAGATCATGCCAGAAACGTTGAAGCATACGAACTACCAACAATGTTAGATAAGAAAGCCGACAAAACTTATGTAGATGAAAATTATGCAAAGAAGTCGGAAGTAAATGCTGCGCTTAATGGAAAAGCCGATAAAGAGCACGTGCATGAAGAATTTCAAACAATCAAGATTAAAGAAATTAAAGCATGCATTGAAATAGTAACAAAAACGGGAAGAAACGGTGCAACTGTACATGAACAAAAAATTTATCCTCCTACTTTTCCTAATGGTTTAATAACAAAAAATATAAATATTGAAGATGGCAAAAAATTTATAAACGTTAAACATGAACTTCTAACAATGAAGGCTCAGATTCTTCAAACCATATATCCTATAGGCTCTATTTATACGTCAATGAATTCAACAAATCCCGCAAGTGTTTTAGGTTTTGGTACGTGGCAGCAGATTGTAGATAAATTCTTATACTGTGCTAACTCTTCAAATCAAACAGGAGGTTCAAAGAAAATTAAAGAAGCAAACTTACCTGCGCACACTCATACAGGAACGACAAACTTTTCTGGCGACCATAGCCACTCATTAAGAGACCACCCATTATACAACTCAGACTATAAAGCTGGCAATGACGTTTTATCTCCATCTTATAACAATTCAGCAAAAAAGACTTTTCGACCAACTGAACCAGGAGGAAATCATGTCCATACTTTCACAACAAATCCAACAGGCTCGGGTGCAGATTATATGCCACCATTTATGACTGTATTCGCATGGTACCACGTTCAATGAACGCGCTTGAGCCTAGGCCCTTTGGGTCAAGGCTTACCGTCTTGAATAAAATCTTTAACTTTACATAAATGAGCTTGAAAGAAGTATTCGAACAACATCCATGGAGGTCATTTAAGAAGTTCAATGAAGCAGCAAAAAGTTGGGGATTTACTAACAGTGCTGAAGTTAAAAAGTTCTTTGACAAAAATGTTGTACATCAAACAAAAATAAACCCTTACGACTACTTTTTACCAATTTACTCCAACACTCCTGACGCATACCAATTTGACACTCTCATTCAAAGCAGAAAAGGAGGACATAAACCATTCCTCATCTTCATTAATGTTAACACTCGTAAAGCATATGCATATCCAATGAAAAATAAAGGAACTCATGAAGTGTTAAGAGTTTTACAAAAGTTTGTAGCAGAACATAGCCCAAGTACTTTAACATCAGACCAAGACAGTGCATACCTCAGCAATGAAATCACAGATTTTCTCATTAAGCATAACATAACTCACTACACTACTGAAGACCATAACCATAACATACTCGGCATCATAAACCGCTTCATAAGAACGCTCAGAGATTTAAACCAAGAGCGAGACTTTACCGAAGAAACAATGAAACATTTTCTCGAAGTATATAATTCCTCAACACATTCTACAACAGGACATACACCAAATTCAATGACACAACAACAAGAAGAAAAGTATATACAAAAGAAACGAAGTCAAACACAAAATATCAGAAATTCAACACAATTTACCCTCATTCCTGGTACAAAAGTTCGTGTAGTTCTTGACGACAAACCGTTGACAAAGAAACGTTTAAGGTTAAGTAGAAACTATTATATCGTAGACTCTACGCAAGGTAATGGATATCTTATAAAAGCTGCTGACGACTCTATTGCGTTTTATCCTCGTCATAAATTAGTTGAAAGTAGTAATGGCAAACTTGCTGAAACCATTGACGAAGCAAAGTGAGGAGTGGTTATTGAAATACTTGGCTACAACATAAACGATGACACTTATAAAGTAAGATATGAAGGAGGCGTTGAAGATGTTATACCATCTAAGAACTTGAGAGAATCTAAACCAACACATCTGGGACCATTAGAGCGGGAGTACTGGAAAGACAAAAATATGCCAGAAAGAATAAGAAAATTCTTCTAAACTTTTTCATTAGATGTAAATCAGACATGAACGAGAACAGTCATGATATCATTAATGGTACCATTTATTTACACCAAAAATAATGTTTAGGGTAGATGGTTAGATCTAACCTCATTTCTACCCTCATGAATTTCCTTAAGACAGAAAAAATAAAGTTAGTTTTATTTTTATTTATTTTTTTTATTTTGTATGTAAGAACAGAAATGTCAGTCGAAGCACAGACGTTCACGAACAAATCTAATGGCGAAAAATTCACAAAAGGCACTTATAACGGTATTGAAGTCTTACGTAGAGACAAGGATGGTTACATTAATGCAACAAATATGTGCCAACAGTTTAGGAAAGACTTTAGAAAGTTGTTGGAAAATAAGTCCTGGGAAGAGTATTATAAGGCATTTTGTGAAGAATATAGCAACCGCCGGAATTCGGACTGTTGCTTTTTATACAAAATTCATGCAGGAATTCCTGATGAAATCAAACAGGTTAGAGGAACGTATGTAGACCCAAGACTTATAAACTATATAGCAATGTGGGCTTCTCCAAAATATTGCATAGCAGTTGGAAAAATTATGGACTCCATAGACAAGAAAGTTCATGAGAAGTTAGATGAAGAAGAACTCGAAGATACAGTAGAGAATGCAAAACATTTGTTTGAAGAAGAAGTTAGAAAAATGCATGAAAAACAATTAGAACATGAACGTGAGATATGTTATGGTTATAGAGATTCTCCATACGAACTAGACCAATGGGAACAAGAAGATTTAAAGAGAGAATTTAGAGAATATGAACTCGCTAAGATAGCATTAGAAGCTGCAGAAAAGAAGTTAAAAGTTTGGGGTCGTTTTGTACAAAAATATTGTGAGTAAATGAACCATTTATTTTTGTCATAAACGACCAAAAAATAATGTTTAGGGTAGATGGTTAGATCTAACCCGATTTCTAACCCGATTTCTACCCTCACGAATTTTCATGAATTTCCTTAAGACAGAAAAAATAAAGTTAGTTTTATTTTTATTTATTTTTTTATTTTGTATAAAAGATATGATTTCAACAATCGGCACAACAACAATTCAAACAACAATAGCACCAAACTCGTTAGTCATGAATCCAACATCTATGTTAGTAGAGATGAAAAACTTCATTCCTTCTTCATATAGTTTTGGAACAGAAATACAAAGAATAAAGCAAGAACTTTTAACAAGTAATTTAGACTGTACCGCACAGGATGAAGAAAATGAAGAATATCTTTATGACATGCAGGACATTATTGACCATTTACCCAAATTGCCTGAAATCCAGCAACAAAAGCTCACTATTCCTGAATTCGATGAAATTGAAGTTAAAGTTAGTGATTCTGCAGAAATAAAGAAGTTCATACGAAAGGTAAATTATGAGTTTCTAGGATATCATTGCAACCATAAAGTTATGGACAAAGATTGGGACATGGTATATAAGAACATCTCTGACATATATAAATCGGGGGAGTTTAAGACATACGACAACTTTGTTTCATTAGTTGCAAAATGTGTATGGCAGATAAGAGATAAAGATAGAAGAGGTAAGGTATGGCATGAACAGATAAAACCAACTGCTTCAGATTTAAAGAAAAATTGACGCCTTAGTTGTTTTAGCAGGTAAGGTTTCAGAATATAACGCAAAATGAATCCGCAATGTTCTAAATGTAAAGCAGCAATGAGGAAATATAACTATTCAGTAAAAGAGATAGAACGTATGCGAAACGACTATGCTGACTTAAAGAGGGAGGCAGAGAAGCCGGTAGAAGATAAAATGGACATGTTAGTATTTCTGAACAAAAACTATCCAACTGCTGACGATTTCCTTCTATCTGATGTCAAGAAGAAGTATAAAGAAACTTTCGGCATTGTTAAAATTTTTGATATCCTCAGCGAAGAAATAGAAGCCACAAAACTGTTTAGAATCTCACGAATTCATAACGTTTACCATGTAAAACGGTTATAAATAATGAGGGTAGAAATGAGGGTAGATATCGGGTTAGATCTAACCATCTACCCTAAAATATATTTTTATTGAATTCAGCAACAAAATTCTGAGTAAAATAATTTTTAGGGCATGTGTCAAACCGTTGAGTTTTCACAAAATTTAAAAAATAACGTATATCATGTGAAACATTTATAAAATAACTGGGGTAGAAATGAGGGTAGATATCGGGTTAGATCTAACCATCTACCCTAAAATATATTTTTATTGAATTCAGCACAAAAATAATGAATTTCATTAGTTAGAAAAATAACGCTAATTTTATTTTTATTTATTTTTTTATTTTGTATGTAAAGACAGTAATGTCAACATCAGAGAACACAACAACAGTTATAGTCCATGAAGCTATAAATGAAGAATACGAGTACATACAGTATAACAAACAGTTACGTCTCATTCGTTCAGTCAAAGATGACATGTACCAAATGCAGAGTATAATGAATGCTCTTCGTTCTACAAAGCAAGCATATCATTGGTTTGAAAACCAACAGACAAAAGAACTTTTAGAAGAATTTCCTCATATGATTGCTTCCCTCGGAAAACCGAGGGAAGAGATTCCGTATGAAAATCGCAAGAATTTGGCTCCTGGTTTGAAAGGTTATTATGTTCATAGACGTTTCCGGAAAACATTTAATTAAAGCAAAAATATATTTTAGTTGAAAAGGTTAGATCTAACCCGATATCTACCCTCATTTCTACCCTCAGCAGCTAAGCGGCGAGACCCAAAGGTCTTGAATTTTCATGAATTTTATATATTAATGTTTTCGTTTATGATTTCGTAAATGTTTTCAGTGTCACCACGTCACCATGTCACCAGGTTAATTAACTTCTCTTAAAATTACTGACAACATGACATTTAGACAACATCAACAAAGGAAATTAAATCGTAAATGTTTTCGTTTATGATTTCGTAAATGTTTTCAGTGTCACCACGTCACCATGTCACCAGGTTAATTAACTTCTCTTAAAATTACTGACAACATGACATTTAGACAACATCACTGGAAATTTGATGCAGCCCAAAAATAAAGTTAGTTTTAAAATTATTTTTATTTTTTTATTCCTATATAAATGACAGCAACAAACAACAACAGCAACTATATCGTTTCTGATGAAAAAGTTATTGATTCATTAGCTGAGGAATTAGTACAGGCAGAAACTAAAATCCTCAACGAAAGAATTGGTGAAAACAAGATTGATTTACATAACTACCTCAAACACGATGGAGGAAGAGGAAGGAAAACTGGTGTGGCTTTATTAGTAAATAAAATTCCAAATTTAACTATTATAGATGTTGATATCAATAAATCGTACAATGATGAACTTAAAGAAACAGTTAGAAAAGACATTCTATCAAAACTTTCGGATAAAGATGTTATCGTTAAAACTGCTTCAGGAGGTCTTCACATTTATTGTAACACTAATTTCTTCTATGCAGTTTCGAACAGAATGATTAAATGCTATTCCTGCAATGATTATGATATTGACATAATGACTTCAATGGATGAATCAAAGCGTTCATTAGTGGTTATGGCTGATTCAAGAGTTCGCAAGAATGCAACAGAACCAATCAAAACATACTCATTCATTCGTGGAAGTTATGACTCGACCATAACCAGAACAGTGAATGATATATTAAATGATTTGAATATTAAGGTAAGAGTTGAACAAAAGAACGAAGAAATAAAGAGTATAATGAATGAAAACAAAGATGTAAACATTGACGATAAACTTGCCCAGAGCATAGTTGATGGTATTAGTGATTTTGAAGTACATAATGACGGTGGAAACATGAATTTAGAAAAAGAAATAACATTATTCACACTGTTTCAAGCTATTAATTCGTTACCTAATCATTTAATTAATGAAGCCTACGATAACGTTTATAACTTCTGCAGTTTAACAGAAAATGCAAAAAGTAATTTTGAAAAAGCACGTAGTAGATATGCTCATTTAATGACTTCTCCATTTGTTTTGGTGAAGATTCTAAAACTATATCAAAAGGAATATTATGATTAATACGTTTTACCTTTATTACGTAAGCCAAAAATAACATTTGATATAAAACTTGATGACTCGTTTTTGATAACAGATATTAGACGCAAGGCTGAAAATCATCAGTATAAAAACAGTTCTGAAGTAATTGAGGATTTATCACGTGTAATCCGTTTTGTAGATTATGGAAACAAATACTTCATTCAGAAAGATTACAACATACACGATAAAATGAATCAAATATCATTCGTTCTTCAATCAGCCATGAAAGAGTCACTCAAAATGATTAAATTATTTAAAGAAGAAGGTAAAACCATAACAGCATGGGACGTACTACTAAATCAATTGTCTTCATTAACCGTTAAGGGTGTTTGCTTTAAATCTGATTCTCCAGATGTTTTCTCAACGTTTCAGGGTTATAAATACAACGTTCTCGAAAAGCCTGATTACTCAAAAATTGAGATGTTTATGAATTTCATTAAAGAAGCCATTTGTGATAATAACGATGAAGTGTATAAATACCTACTCGGCTGGATTGCATCAATGATTCAACATCCTGGAATCAAGAATGAAACAGCAATTATTTTGAAAGGACTTCAGGGAACAGGTAAAAACAAATTTACAGATATTATTTCTGAACTTCTCGCTGGTTATTCATGTAAAAACATTACCGAAATAGGTGAGCTAACGGGTAATTTCAATTCAGTAGTTGAGAATAAAATGTTTCTTGTACTTAATGAACTCAAGAATGTTGGTGAAGACAGACTCGCAAACTTCAACGCTTTGAAATCAATTATTACGGATAATGAGATTAGAATTAATGAAAAGAATCAACCCAGAAGAACTGCTCAGAACGTTGCAAACTTCATTTTCGTAACTAATAACGTCTACCCTGTCAAAATTGAAGTTGGAGACAGAAGATACGTAGTTTTAAGAGTTAATGGTAAATTTAAGGGTCAATTTGATTATTTCAAGAATTTGATGAATTCATGCACAAAGGAATTTTATGATAACCTTTTAACATATTTTATGCAATATGACCTTTCATCATTTAATGTACAAATCATACCGATGACTGAAGCCAAACAAGATTTAATAGAATTATCAACAAATCCTTTAGATGTATGGATAAATACACATTATGATGAATTGTGTGCAGGTATGACATGTAAAAATGCTCTATTCTGCAAACCATCAGACATGAAAGACAAAAACTTTCAAATGAGCATTAAGGATAAATGTGAAAGGAAACAAAGAAGAATAGATGGTAAACAGACATGGTGTTATGTTTTGAAAGAAGAAATGAAAGGATTATATAAACAGGTTGAACCAAACGATAATGATGATTCATTTACTGACGATGAAATACCTGTAAATGAAGCTTTATAAAGTATGATTTGAATTTATTTTTGCATTCAACCCAGGCTGTTGTCAAAATGTCATGTTGTCATCATTTTTAAAAGAAGTTAAATAACCTGGTGACATGGTGACGTGGTGACACTTTCAGTTCTTCAAAAATAATTCATAAATGCTGCATTCTCTCCTAAAAATATTTTTGCATTCAACCCATGCTGTTGTCTAAATGTCATGTTGTCATCATTTTTAAAAGAAGTTAAATAACCTGGTGACATGGTGACGTGGTGACACCTTCAGTTCTTCAAAAATATATTTTTGCTCAAATAACGTCAGGGTCAGTTCCATTCTGACTTCGCAGAAATAACACCTGGAAAACAAAGTTTAGCATACAAGTCAATATTTTGTGGAAAGAAGACTTACATAGACTTACTCACTAACGATTTAAATGAAGTTGCATTCCATGCACGTTGCAAAGGTGTCAAACAAGACGTCCTTGCTTTAACAGCAAATGAAATGTTTCCTGAAGCTATACAATGCTATTACAATGAAGATAAGAACATTCACATATCTGTTGGAACATATGACAAAGACTCTGAGTTCAGTTTAATGAAACTTTACAAAGCACTTTATGACGGTCAAGAGATTGGATTTGACTTATGTAAGTCTGCTACACCTGCATTTGAGGAAAAGTTTAACTTTTCTATTCAGACTAAGACTTCATTCATAAGAAAGCTTAAGTTCTGAGAACATGAATGAGAAAAATAATGAGGTCATTTATTTTTGTCAGAAGTGAGACCATTCATGATAAAAATAAGCCGCTTGCGGCAAGGGCGAAGCCCATGTGGTCATTTACAATACAGCAATTGTAGAGTTTAAGAGTTGTGCTTCAATGTAGAGACAGTCCTTATGGTCTGGAGGTAAGAACACTGGGCAGTTATGGTCATGAGTGGAGAACATGTCTATCCAAAACTCACGATTGAAGCCAGTTAATTTATAGTATTTAGGGTTAGGAAGTGGTGAAGTTCTTGTATGACCAATGAACTCATTTTCAACTCCCTTACTTAAGTTTGAATATAATATAGCTTGCTTTCTATCCCAAATGCCAGGTGTTACAATCTTTGAAAATTCATTTTTCCTCGGAAGCATTGCATCATAATTGAAAACATTCTTGAAATCATCACTTGGTTCAGAGATTTGAAATCTTATACGTAATGGATTTTCTTTCTTTTTAGCTACTTCATTGAATGGTGAATATATAACAAACTGACAGTCATGAGTTCCATCTTCATTTTCATTAAATTCATAATGAAAGTCTATAAGTTGTGGCCGACTACCTTCTTCTTTCAGTTGTGCAAGAAACTCACGTAAAGGCTGTAAAGTTTGTACTTCAATGTTGAACTTTTTCTCGAACATCTCATTAAATGAAATCATACATTGCAACAATGTTGTATCGTCTTTAAAGTATTTGTATATGTGAATGTTTTGGGCGCTTAAAGACTGTTCGTCATTTTCTATCTCGACTTGAAGTATAAAGTCAACCTTTCTGAAAGCACGTGTTATATACATATTTGTTATGCCAATGTACTTCTCTTCATTTATGTTCACAATCCAGTCTGTTGGAAACTTAAACGTTACTCTGTTCCCCTTTATTTTGACGTCAGGGTTTTCACTACTGAACGCAACAGATAAAGGTATTTGTCTATACATTTAATTCGGATAAAAATAAACCATTTACTCTTTCTTTGCTTCAGCTTCTTTAGCTTTTTTCGCCAGTAGTCTTGGGTTCTTTTGTCTTCCAGCAGCTAATGCAGCAAGTTGTTTTTCACTAAGTTTTCTCTTTGGTCTCTCTGGCTTTTGTTCTTGTTTTTGTTCCTTCAGTTCGGATAAAATTTGCTCACGAATTTCTTTCTTCAATGCTTCAAAATCTATGACCCCTTGGATCTTGTCCGTAGGGCTTGTCTGAGTCATTTGACTGCAGATAAAAAACAAAATTAAAACTTTAACCGATGTAAAATGAGCTTGTCAAAATCAGAGCGAGAGTCTATTATATTAAATGACGCAAGAGGAATACAACATCCTTTCTATTACGTAAGTCAGAGTAAAGATGGTAAAATATACGTAAGAAAAAGAAAGGTTCCATTAGCGAATGCAGAAAGCGACAACATTAAGGTGCATGGCACCGAGGGCGAAGCCCATATAAAACCTTCTGTTCAAACTGAGCCACCAATAGAACCAGAAGAAAAGAAGCCAGATGTACTTTCAATAACGAACCAAGAGCTTATTGCAAAGTTCGTGAATTTCATTGAAAAACAAACCGAGTCAAAGAATCCTGACCCGCCAGTGAAAGAAGTTGAGACAAAAGAGAATGTACAGTTCATTGAAAATGTCAAGAAACAACTTCCACCACGAATGCCAAGAAGAAGAGTGAGAATAATGAAGTAAATAGATATTTTTATCTGAAGTAAATACATGCAGAACGAACAGTTAAACGAATTTACTCCAGCAGAGCATATTCATCAGATTCGCTCATATTTTGATATCATAGACAATGCAGTTCAAATTGGTGACACTAATAGAAAATATTCTGACGCAAAGATTCCATCACAACCTGGAACTGCTAAAGATAACACATGGGTAACATTCAATCTCTCACCTCCTGGTGAAAATATGTTGGACCTTTACAATACATTCATTACGTATAAAATGGAAGGTCAATTTATTGTAGATAAAGAAATTGGTTCAGGTTCCAATAAAAAACCCACCAGGATTTTGGATTGGTTTCGATGACGCTTTCTATGCAGTTGCTGGATATCAAATCCTTGCAAATGGTTGTATCGTATATTCTCAAGACAACGCAAGAGAAGAAGCATATATAACTTCAAACTCACAAACTACCGAACAAATAAAGAAAGTAGATGTTTTCTCAAAGACTCGACATGAAGATGTATGGAGTCATTCGGGAACATGCAGAACAGGACAAATTGTTAGTGGTCCAATTACAGCAGGAAAATCATTTGATTTTAAGCTTCGTTTAAGAATTCCTGTTAGAAGATTCCTTCCATTAGAAGCTATTCGATTTATTCCTGCTTTTGCAGGAAACATTCAGCTTAAAGTAAAGCGCAGTAGCGACGCCTTACAATGCACATCTATATCTGTAAATGATATCATTGCTTTCAATCCAACTCTTAAAGTTGCATTTGCTTCAGATTCAAATCCACCGACAAATAAATTTGTTCCATGGAATGAACCATTCACTATGATAACGAAGGCCGTAGAAGCTAGTGGAACAGTTACTATTACAACTGTAACCCAGCAACTATTTCGAACAAAGATGGATTTTAATGAATGTTTCATTCATCCAAAGTCATTCTCTTTAGACCCTAACATTTATACAGAACTTTAGAACTACATCCAAAATACAAACGAGGCTTTATGTTTTCCTGTTAAAGTTATGGATTGGATTCCTATGGACGGTTCATTCTCAAAGAATACAGATAGTTCAAGTGCAACATTTACAGCAGCTTATACGCCTATTAATGTTAAAAGTATTTGGGCACTATTTAGAAAGAAAGACAACTATTATGTTAATTTTGAGAACCCTAAGTTTAAATATCTTCAGCTTTCCATGGGAGCTTATGGAAATATGCCTGCAGAACCCGAAAAAAATCATATGGACCTGTATTTTTATGAAATGGTTGCGAACGCCTGCAATACAAACAATGATATGATAGGATTTAATGAAGATGTTATGAGGTCATTGGTGGATGATGGTAGTGTGGAACATAAATGGGATAGCTATGACAACACACATTTCTTATGTGGTTTTCCAACAGAAGTGGACTTTTGCTTCCAGCAAGGTCAAACATCTACTGCTCCAATAACATACAAATTGTCTGTTAAAGGACCTATTGAACTAGCAACTGAAAATGTACCAAAGCCACTTATTGGATTTATGAGGGATTGTTGCTTTGCCATTCAGGTGCGTGCTAATGGCATCCCCATAATAAGATTAGATGACTATAACTTAGCTACGGACGACAGTGAGGAATAAAGGATGAACGTTTATTTTTAAAGCTTATAAATGAGTTCTTCATCAAGCTCTCGTGAACCTTCACCATCTATGAAACAAACTTTACCAAACGATTATGGAGCACCTATTGAATATTTCTTACGAGCTGCACAATGGCAAAGAGCAGTCTCACCAAGGTTAGGTGTTCCACCAGCTCCTGTCAAAAATAGCATTTGGTCAAGTCCTTATATAAGATATGGTCTCCCACTAGGTTTGCTAGCTACAGCAGGAGCAGTTATGATGTTGAAAAGAAATAAAGCAAATGTTGTAAATAAACTGAAGTAGCTGAAGTTAAACAAACTCCAACACCTTCGCCAAAACCAACGCCGTCACAAGCAAAACCTTCAATGACTCCTGAACCTATGGAAGTACAAACTCCTGTTCAAAAGTCAACTCCTAAACCGACTCCAACATTTAAACCAGAACCTACTCCTCAAATAAATCGTAAAACTCCTGCGTTTCCTTACTGAAAAAATAACGTTATTTTTATTTAATATTAAAATTTTTATTTGATTGAAATGACAAATAAAGTCACTGAAGCAATGAAACAAAAGTTTTTGGTAGAATACATTAAATCAGGAACTATTCCAGAAGGTTTTTACATTCATACTATGAAGGATGGTAGAGTTCAGTTTAGAAAGATAAAGCAACCATTAGATAGAGAAGGAATTTTGAGAAAGATTAAACTTCATGAGGACAACATTGCTGAACTTAAGAAGAAGTTAGAAGAGTTGGAGAAAGGAAGAGAGTTATAAAGCAATGAATTCAACAGGGTGAAAAACCGGGTGAAAAAAGAGGTGAGATTTCACCACTTCACCTAAATTTATTTTTGTGCTATGTTTTCATACGTGTGAGGGTGGTGATATCATTAATTTTTAAATAAATGTGGGAACAAAAATAAAGCATATCTACTCAACAGGAATGAGACCCTTACTGACTATGTATTCGTTTAATGCTTGATGAAAACAATGGTACATATTATCGTATGGGTATACACAACGTCTGTTTCCATCGTCGTCGTATATGTAGAGCTCAAATCCAGTCCAACCTTCTTTTGTACAATATGTAGATAAGGCAATTTTCTTCATCGCTCCAGAAATAATTTTCGTTCCTCTGCGACCATAAGGAATGTATGCAATGAACTTTGCGTCATAAGGGATTGTAATATATTCAGGGTTTCTTTCATCGTCAATGGGTCTGTCTTTGTTAAAATGCATGTTTCTCAGTTTTACTTGAGTTTTGAATAGTTCACGGAAACGTTCTGGGAAAGAGTCATAGTAAATGTAGTCGTACATGTCTTTGTAATGAAATAAAAAATTTAAAAAAATAAAAATAAGGTTATTTTTTATTTAATGAAGTCATTAGTGAAGTTATTAGTCAAGTCATTAGTGAAGTCGTTTATGTGTCAGACGGTTTTGTAAATATTTAAGGTTAAGTTGGTGTTATGGTTATGTTGTAAAATATACGTTACCGGTTTCGTAAAGTGTCAAAACCGCTAAGTGGTGTACGGAGGCGCGCAGTGCCTCAGTACACGACTTCGAGATACTAACTATCAATACTCTTGGTGGTGATGATGTATCGAGACCTCATGTTAACCATATTTTACAGCAATTGCATTGCAAGCTTAAGGCATGCCAAGAGATTGAAGAATCAAGATACATGGCGTGTGAACCAAGAATTATCGAAGAATTCTACGATAAACATCGTGAAACAATCGAAAGTACTCCAGAGGAGTTGATTTTTAGTATCGATGAAACATTCATAAAAAAATTTAAGAAGAAGAAAGTTGCATTACCTGAGGAGATAGAGCATATGATCGCCAAAGGAATTCCAAACTTTCCGCACATTACAGCTTTATGCGGATGCTCAATGACAGGCAAATCTGTCCCACCTCTCTTTGTTCTCCCATGTATTGCAGAACTACTAGAGAACTGAAAGTATTCCAGCGCGAAAGACATTGTTAGTTTACTTCTACGCCAAAAGGCTGGGTGAACAGAAGTGTATTCTTATTGTATTGCATTTTCTTCATCGAGTGGCTTTAACTTTGAACGCCAGAGAATGCCAGAAGATATACGTGACAAGCCTGCTCTCATTGTGTGTGATGGACACTCCAGCCGCGAGAATCCTCTGGCATTGTTCCTTTTGGCAAGTGCCAACATCAAATTAATTGTTCTTCCCGCACATACAACACACATTTTACAAGTATTTGATGTTGGCATTGCCAAAAGATTAAAGTCCAAATTCACGGATTATCTGAGAGATTACATTAAGGCACCGAAGCAAGAGTTCAACAGCAATGATGCAATGATGCGCTACGCCATTATCTACTCATTTATTAGCGCATGGCAAGAATCAGTATCATTAAGAACGGTTCAAAATGCTGCTGCCGCCTGCGGTCTTTGCCCTTGTTCTGTAGAAGCTCTCAAACATAATAAGTATGTTCGTGAATTGACTCCTGCAGAAAAAGAATTGCAAGAGAAAAGAAATTACCGTAATCGAAATCGTTTTAACATCAATGGTGAAGAATTGACGACGATGGACATGATTTGCGCAATTTCTGACAATATTAAGAAGAATCCTGCAAATCACAGATTTTGCAGGAAGCCAGAACAAGACACCAAGGAACGTTTCTACTTTTGGATTACAAACTATCTTGATCCCAGCACTGAGTTGTTGACAAAACTCCCTAATATGCCAGGTTATAATCCAAATGATTAGGAAAATTTTCCAATTTTCCAACAAAAATTTTTTAATAAAATATTATTTTACGGCATTGCCCATCACTTTTTTTCGGTACAAGGCTAATATCACGGTATAACCCCCCTGAAAAGACTTTACAAAAAATTTCACACAGTAATATAAAAAAATTTTTTTTCAAAGATGGGTGCTTTCTGGATGCAAATGGTTGGCGTGATGTATCGCAAACTCTGCATATATAAAAGATCAGTATTCAGTATAGTGATTTTCACTATACTTTCCCTCTTTTTATTCACTTTAGCATTTTCATTAAAATTTTTTCAAGCGTTCGAGCATGGGGCAGACGATAAAGTTGTATCAACATTTTCATGGTTTAGCAAAGACAATATTTCGGTAGCGCACATTGTTGATCCAAATTCTTCATATCCATTCTTCACAGATCAAATAAAAGACTATCTTACTGAAATGTGCAAAACAGAGTTAGAGACAACGCTTACAATATACGAATTTAGTTCTTTTGACGAATTCAATGATTATGTTTACAATAATCAAAATGCTGACGATATAACAATGAATTTTGCCTTTTCATATCAAATATCTAATACTACAGAAGTTAAATTCGATGATAATGGAACTTTGGTTGGTGATCTCAATATATCTTTTCAAACAAACAGCACAAACGACTAGTTTACTGCATATTCGATAATACGTCGCGCCATGTGGAAAGTTGCTCATCGTAGTTATGAAGCAGATTTTCAACTGGCAAGAACTCCATTTGTAGAGGTTGGAAATGGCTCAATTGAATATATGATTTCAGGACCAGCGTTTTGTCTTGCCATGGCAATGATTTATGCCTTTATTATCGGACAAATTACTGAAGAACTGAAATCTTCGCAAAGGAATTACATGTTTATGTGTGGACTTAGTCCAATTACATACTGGCTTGCAAACTACATTGTCGATGTAATAATAAGTGAAGCATTCAGCTTATTATACTTCATTATTTATTATATCGGCGGTGTGCAAAATATTATTGACTATCCAGGATACTCATATTTCACATTCTTCATTTCTGCCCTTTCCTGAATATTTTATACTTATGTATGGGCGTGGGCCTTCTCTAATAAGACCATCTCCAGGGTTTTCTACGTTTTTATAGAGCTTTCCACGATTTTTTCCATGTTTGGCTTCAATATGGCCCTTCCTGAAGCTCAGCAAATCGTTACGACCATCATATATACCTTAGTTCCTCCAATTTCTCCATCAAAAACTTTAATGGAGTTCAAATGTACATATTTTTATGGTCTTTCTTCGCTATTATATTCTTTGCTGCATTTCTCGCCATTATAGAAGTCCTAAGGTTCTTTATTCAGAAGCGAAAATCAATCAGCGACTGGAAAGGCCACGAAACTGATTTCTATCGCCAAAAAGAGAAACAACCAATGACAGAAGACGCCTTAGACATGGAACAAGATGTTAAAAATGCCACGCCAGATGAATACGCGGTCAGAATTAACAATGTTTCCAAATTATTTTATGATACAACGAAGAAACCTATTTGTGCTGTCAACCAAGTATCTCTTGGTATCAAGCGAGGCTCATTATTTGGTTTTCTTGGCGCAAACGGTGCTGGAAAGACAACTTTGATGAAAATAATTTTAAGAGAGCTTCAACCATCGAATGGCAGCATCGAACTCGAAGGCACCGACATCAAGGAAGGCTACAAAGCTCACATGATTGCAATTTGTCCGCAGTTCGACGATCATCTCTGTCCAATTTTGACAACATACGAACAGATCAAGTTTTACTCGTATATCCATCAAGTTCCATCCGACCAAAGCGAGCACAACATCGCCATGCTCATAGAAACCCTCGACCTCACTAATCATCGCGACAAATTAGTCAAAGAACTTTCCGGAGGCAACCAACGCAAGATTTCCATTGCCATTGCTTTTCTTTCCGATGCCCACATTGTTCTTCTCGATGAACCAACGTCATCCCTTGATCCTGTCGCGAGACACAAAGTCCACAACTTAATCAACATTTCTCGAGGCGAAAAAACATTCATGTTGTGCACACATTTACTCGATGAAGCTGAATCTCTTTGCGACAACATTTTCATCATGTTAAATGGTTGTGTTTACGCAATAGGAACTCCTCAGTATCTATCGAGTAAATTTGGAACAGAGTGGAAAGTTGATTTAGTTTTAGACTCCGCAAACAAAGAAACAGAACAGAATGTCGATCAGTTCTTTAAGAACAATTTGTCGACAGCGAGATTGAGTATTAAAAGGCCTTTGTCGAGGATATATTCGATCCCGAGCCAGGACATTAAACTCACGAATCTGTTCGAAGTTTTGCAGAAAGGAAAAGACGAAGGAGTTGGAATCAAATATTACACATGCAGCTGCTCAACTTTGGAAAAGGTCTTCATGGAAATCGTGATGCTTTCTGAGAAAGGAGCATTGCCTTCTTCTGATGAAGAGAGCTCAAGAAGATCTGTTAGATCTGAAAGATCTGAACCAACAACTATTGAAGATGTTTCTTCTCTTAATTAATTTTTATTTTTATTTTCTTTCTTTTTATTGTATAGATGTTTTTTTTTAAAAAATAAAAAAAACTTATTTTTTTCCCTTCTTCTCTTTAATATTAAAAAGATAACTCCTTTTTCACACTCGTCCAGTTGATTCATCATTATCTTTTTCATTGATGTTTGCACCGTGTGAAATAAGAAGTTCTGCTGTTTCTTTACTCTTATAACATGCTGCAATATGAAGAGCGGTTCGTCTATGATTATCTTTTTCATTGATATTTATACCATGTGAAATAAGAAGTTCGGCAGTTTCTTTACTATTATATACTGCTGCTTTATGAAGAGCGGTTTGTCCAAAATCATCTTTTTGTTTGATATTTATACCATGTGAAATAAGAAGTTCAACTGTTTCTTTATTATTATTAAATGCTGCTTTATGAAGAGCGGTTTGTCCAAAATCATCTTTTTGTTTGATATTTATACCATGTGAAATAAGAAGTTCAACTGTTTCTTTATTATTATTAAATGCTGCTTTATGAAGAGCGGTTTGTCCAAAATCATCTTTTTGTTTGATATTTATACCATGTGAAATAAGAAGTTCGGCTGTTTCTTTTCTATCATAACGTGCTGCTTTATGAAGAGCTGTTTCTTCATATTTATCTTTTGTATTGATATTTGCACCATTTGATAGGAAATATTCGCAAAGAGATGGAATATTAAACATTGCCGAATTAAAAAAGCATCCATTAATATCATTAGTTTGATCAAAATAAACTAAAAATGACTCAAGATTATTATACTGTACACAAATATACAAATTGATCTCTATATTGTGCTCATTCATCAAGAATGTAACAAAATCAATGTTGTGTGGAATAATTGCATAAATCATGCATTCTTTATTTGGTTTCTGATGTTTCAAACATTCATTCAGGATCTCTTTGTTTCTTCCTAAAAATGATAATGCTAGACATTCTTGAGTTATTTCTGAGTTAAATTTTGTCCTTAGGAATTTGAAACAATCAACTGCTCCATGGTAACAACACAATTCAAGTAACGAATTTCCTAGTTAGTAAACATATCAAGGGTACGGAGGCACTGCGCGCCTCCTTACCCTGATATGTGAATTTGACACTTTACAAAACCGTTAACGTATATTTTACAACACAAACGACAACACTAACTTAACCTTAAATATTTACAAAACCACCACCCACTTCACTTCACTAACGAACTCACTAATGTAAAAAATAAACGTTCTCACTATCATTCTCACTAACGACTTCACTAATGTTCTCATAAATTTTCCTCAATATCTTCATCATCAGTGTTAACCCTATTGTAGTCATACTTGAAGCCATAAACTTTCTCTAACTTCTTAACGTACAATTTACATAACTTACCTTCGTCATCGTATGGTTTAATGATATAACTATTTCTATCTTTATACACAGTCAATGAAAAGTCAACTGGTCTCGGATGTATTTGAAAGAACATGTTATGCTCAGGAAGGAAGAATAAATGTTTAAATGTATGTTTGTTATACTGTGGAAATCGAATGAGTTGCTTTTGTTCTGTCATTTATATAAAATAAAAATTTTCAGTAAAATAAAAAATAAACTTAAAAATTAATGATATCACCACCCTCACGCGTATGAAAACATAGCACAAAAATAAATTTAGGTGAAGTGGTGAGATCTCACCTCTTTTTTCACCTCTTTTTTCACCCTGTTGAATTCATTGCTTTATAACTCTCTTCCTTTCTCCAACTCTTCTAACTTCTTCCTAAGTTTAGCAACGTTGTCCTCATGAAGTTTAATCTTTCTCAAAATTCCTTCTTTATCTAATGGTTGCTTTATCTTTCTAAACTGAACTCTACCATCCTTCATAGTATGAATGTAAAAACCTTCTGGAATAGTTCCTGATTTAATGTATTCTACCAAGAACTTTTGTTTCATTGCTTCAGTGACTTTATTTGTCATTTTACTCTAAGGTGAAGCTAGCACAGCGATAATGGATTTCATGACTTTTTAGTATTTCATGCAATCTTAACAGATAGCCTTACAAGTACTTCCAGTGTCCCTAGCTGTCCCTCCTTTTTATATAACTCCATGACATTTATAATCTCGCGAAACTTAACAGGTAGCATAACAGATTAAAATCAGATGAGGTTTTGAACCAAAATTTCTAAGCAACGTTGTCAAGGATTTTTGAGGAACTAGGGACAGAGTGTGGCAAAGTCCAAGATTTAATTTATCTTCATCTGTTTCATCAGATATCTCATCTAATATGCCAATATTTTATTCATAACTCGTGGCAAACTCACTAACTTTCATTATGCTCATCTGCATGCTTCATCTGATAGAAAGTATGACTTTCATTAACTCTGTGAGATAATGAAAACTACTAGGGACAGAGACCATGGCAAAGTTTATGACTTTCATTATTTCCAGAACTTAATGAAAACTACTAGGGACAGAGACCATGGCAAAGTTCATGATTTAATTTATTCTCTCACTAACAACAAACACAAACTCCAACACTAACGACAAAAATAAGTGTCCTCACTTCTTAACAAAGTAATATGTGCTTCTTACACCACCATAGCTCAAACGTTTCTTTTCAAACATCGATTGAAACTTATTTTGAGCCATTGGCTTTAGTCTCTTTTTCTTCAAATACGCCAAGAAATCTTCTTCACATCTTTTCACTTCATAGCCTTCTTTAAACTCCTCCTTGTTAAGTTCTATGAAATCCTTTATCTCATTCTTTGTTGCAATGGCTTCTTCACGAACGACATCATGAACTATTTCATCATTGCATTCATGTATGACCTCCTCACTGTTCTCATGAACTATTTCATCACTGTTCTCATGTATGACCTCCTCACTGTTCTCATGAACTATTTCAACACTGTTCTCATGAACTATTTCATCACTGTTCTCATGAACTATTTCATCACTGTTCTCGTGAACTATTTCAACACTGTTCTCATGAACGACCTCCTCACTGTCTTTCATAAGCGTTTCAAAGTCTCCTTTACTCATTACTTCAATCTCATGCTGTTCACAATAGTACTTAAACTCACTGTATATGTCTTTGTTGTATGTTATATTGCTTCCCATGTACTCCATGAATTTTTCAAGCACTTCCTCATAATTCACTGTTTCTTTCTTTCCACGACCTTCTAATATCATACTTGCTTCGTAAATATAACTTCTTGCAGAACCGTCTCGCTTTCTACTTCTCTTCACAAATTCTCTCATCTTGCCGCCAAATACATTTGAACTACATGCAAAGAATTCATTCTCCTTCGCAAATTCTTTATATCTTCTGTAGCACTCTGTACAATTCCATCCGGATACAAACTTTTCATAGAACTCCTCGTAAAACATTTGGTAAGGTGTTTTGTTCATTTCGATGAGTTCTTGTTTAGCCCTGGTGAATGGTATCTTCCTTACATCAAATTCACTTAAATCTTTCTTCATGAAGTACGTCAGTAAGTTTGAATAAAACTCTTCATTAAAGCTTTCAATGAGATTTGAGAAATATTCGTAATTTCCTTTGTATCTGCTGCTTACGTCAATGACAACAAATCTTCTGTCGTCTTTATCAATCTTTACTGAGTTGAAGTTGTTAGATATCATGATGATATTACAAACATTCTCTATCTTTCTTACTGGCTGACACTTCTGATTTAAGTCCAACTGAGTCTCTGTTACTATTGACTTTAGTGCGTCGTGGTTCATGACCTTAGACGTATCGCATGAGCTTAGTTCATTGCATACGATGAGCTTCATGTTCTCAATAGCAGCATTGAATCTACCAACCACATTCTCTATTGCCGTTATATTATTGTTGGCGTACTTGCTAATGAGCTCGCATAGAACATTACTAAGTACATTCTTACCAGTTCCTTGCTTTCCTATTAACAAAAGTACTGTTCCAGTCTTTCCACAAGGATTTTGAACGATGTAGGCGAACCAGTTCAAAACATACTCATAAAGCTCTTCATCCTCATTACATATGACATCGTGAACATGTTTCAAATATCCTTCAATAACGCTTTCATCTACTTCATTCAGTACCTCATACTCATATCCTCTGAAATAGCTGTAAATGTCATCTCTTTCGTCAAAGAATCTCATGCCTGACTTCATAAGATAGTTCTTGTTCTGACCCGCTTCATAAATCATCAGTGCGTTCACATCCTTCTCCTCAATACGTCCTACATAAACACTCTTCATGAGCTTATTGAATTCCTTGCTATCTACTGACACAAGTGTTGTTGTGTCTCGTATTCCATCATAATCTTTCACTAGATATGTCATACGTGCTCCGTCAATAACGACAACACATCTTCTTAAGTCATTTATAACACTAGCTATGTCAATACCTTCTTCACTCATGTACTTATTTCTTCTCAAGTCCTTTAGTGTGAAAGTGTCTCTAAGTTCTATTTCAAGCAATTCATTTACATGTCCTTTGCAATACTTCTCTATAAAATATTTCTGTCGTTCTTTACTAAGTTTCTTAACAGCTCTGAAAACCATGTGTTTTGACTCAAACATCCTTCACAACTTCTCTCATTCATTCCTAGTTCTTTCATGTCATTATCTTCAACCTCTATGGTCTCATTGACTAAGGTCAAAGGGTTCTTAGTCATTGCTGGTCTTATCTGAAACAATGTTTGTGCAACAGGTTTAACTAGTTCAGCAACGTCCTTCCTTAATATGAATAGCTGTTTCCACTCATCTTTGCTAACAGTTCTTTCATAACCACTGACAGTAATGATTTCATTTGCTGACCTTAGACGCTTATGTTCTATCATTTGTATTGCTTTTGTGTAAGGCTTTCGTGAGCATAGGTTGTATATGTCATTCCTGCAATGTTCATTCATGCCAATAGTACTAAATCCTTTCTTTGCTGTTGAGTGCATAATATCCATTAGTTCCTGTGTTCGTATTGCTGTCTCATAAAATACAACAAGACCTTTGTCATCTATGACGTACTTACCGAAAACATTGCTTATATTCTTTAACCATGAAATAACATCCTCATTCATGCTGTCAAACATGAAGTAAGGTCTTACATACCTTCACTTATAAGATACTCCACAAAGTACTTGTTAAGCTCTATGTCCTCGTGAGCGATTTCATTAGGTTTGATATTAGTTCCTTTTGTCATTGCTGTCATGTACTTCACTCTCATAGTTCCTTTCAATAGCTAAAAATACTTCATTGTTTCATAACTGCTCTAAATTCTGTTCAAAATTCGTACAACATAACTTTTAACATTAGTGAAAGAACATGAGCGAAACAACAACATCTAACATTACAGAAGAAGTCAATGACAATGCCGATGAAAACATTACAGAAGGAGCTAGTGAAAATATTGACGAGTTCAGTGAGGAAGAAGATATTGAGGACGTCAATGAGAACGTTAGTGGGGAACAAACTCAATGGGAAACATTGAGAAATCATGAAGATTATGAGATTTGTACGACATATCCTTTTACTATTCGTCGAAAGAAAAACAAACATATTAAGAGTGAATGCTTAAATAATCATGGTTATATTGAGCTTAGTTTAAACAACAAAACGCATTTAAAGCATAGAATTATTGCAGAACAGTGGATTGAAAATCCAAACAATTTGAAAGAAATAGACCATATAAATCATGATAGAACGGACAACAGAATCTCAAACCTTCGTTGGTGTTCTAGATCTGAAAACAATAGAAATAAAAGCAAGTATGGCGATATAGTTTATGAGTTCGTTGATGAAATATCTGACGAAGCTGTTGAAATAACAGATTATGGTAAGCATTCGTTTGAGTTCTACTACAAACAAATTTTTATCTAATTTATAAGTTGTTGGATATTCTCCATTTGCTGCTTCATAAACATTTGGTTTCACACCAGATATTGTCTCTTCGCTACAGCCTAATTGAAAACCATCATAGTATTCATATTGTTTTTTAATTAGTTTTTCTGTAAAGAATTTTCTGTATGAACTATAAGCTCTTGTTTGTTGTGGTAATAATTCATTGACAACTTTACCTTCAAAACAAATGTTGTCTAAATCTATTAAACTTTCAAATCTGTCTTCTTCTAAAGACATTGTTTGCGTAAAATCATAACTATCTTTAACAGATTCAGGAATAATTAAAGTTGATATTCCTTGTTTTATTACATATTTGTTATATTTTACAACTCTTTCATTAAACAATGATTTGAGATTTGCTCGATTAACTTTATCTGAGATTTTGAATTTTCCAAAGATCTTTCCAAATGTAAATAAAAGTACTCCTGTTCTCTTCTCAATGAAGCAATTGTTATCAATCATAAACAATGGATGTCCTCCTTCTTCGAAAACAAAATTGATCTTAAATGATCCTTTGAATGCTGTTGGATGTATATAAGAGATTATATTCTTTATTTTAATGGAACTTAATGACGTGTTACAGAATGTATTGAAAAGAATTGCATTAATTTTGTCATTGTAATTAAATGTTGTTAATTTCATACAATTTTCAAAAGCACCTAATCCAATATATGTAAGAGATGAAGGGCAATCAAAAGATGTTATTTCTGATGAATTAAATACACTCTCTTCAATAATAAAAAGAGATGTTGAAGGAGTAATTTGTTGAATAGAAGATTTCCAGAAACAAAATGCTGGATAATTATTAACTTTTGGAAGATTAATTGTAGTTAAAGCTTGACAATATGCAAATGAATGATTTCCAAGAGATTCAACGTTATTCATCGATGGAAGTGTAGAAAGTTTGTAGCAACAAATGAAGCAATCATGACCAATAGATGTAATAACTGACTCGGACTTAAAAGTAATTGTTTCAAGATTATAACAATGAAAAAATGTTGCATCTCCCAATCTTGTTATTTTAGCTTGAATTTCAACAGTTTTTAGTTTGTGGCAAAAAGCAAATATTCCGTCTATAATATTGATTCTTTTTGGCAAAGTAATGCTTTCATATGAACTATAAGCTAAAGCAAAAGGTGAAATACTTTCTACATTTTCAGGAAGGGAAAACACTGGATTATTCTGAGTATTAAAGTAAGCAATAATCTTTGTTTGTGTTTTATCATATAATATATTACCATCAACGACGAAGTTATCATTATTATTTAATATAATACTTGTCAATGTAGAATTTGGGAAATATTTTAATGAAAAGTATGTTACATCACTTCCTAATGTTATTTTTTGTAATGATTTGCAATTCCAAAATGGAGTTATATATCCCCTGAAATGATCATTTGGATGTTCATTTCCATCAGACATCCTTTGATATCTGAGCATTGAATCGTAATCCATATCAGAATAATAATCATTACTATCGTATGCAGCACCACCCATTGAATACTCTCTATCATACAATTTAATGTCTTTGCCAATTGTTATATACGAAAACGATAAAAACGGTTTGACAGAAAAGCGACAACTTTACGTGTCAAAAATAGAAAAAGTGGCATTTTATTCGTAATATTAAAATGAATCATCATAATCTTCTTGATATTCTTCTTCATAATTTACTTCGTATTCTTCTTCTTCATTACTACCTTCTTCTATTTCAACCGGATTCACCTTATTTTCTTCTTCTTCAACTTCCTCGCCTTCTTTTTCCCATTCATCTTCTTCGATTCCTTGGAGCTCTGGCATCTCATTGGCCATAAGTGAACCTGGAAGAAAATCTTGAGAGACTCCATCCACAATCCATTTTGCCGGCATTCCCCTCTTCCAAATTGGAAGTTTCTTCCACATTTCAGATGGGCTATAGTGAATTTGTTTTCCATTCACATAATGAGTTGGTAATGCTAGATGAGGTTTAGCATTATAGTACTCAACCATTGTTGATCTTTGCCCATGACAACTCTCTGCTCTTATGTTAGGCCACAAGCGCTCGATTTTCCCATTTTGGTATGGGCAATGGGACAATATATACATTATTGATCCCCCGAACCCTCATAGCCTTTAGGAACTCGCCTTTATTCTCGCCGCCATTATCGGACCAAATTGTATGTGGTGGTCCATAACGGGCTATTGCTCTCTTAATTACTTTCACTGTTTGGCTAGCATGTTTTGACGAAAGATGCTGCCATTCTATGATGAGCCTTGTGCAGTCATCAATCACAGCATAAAGAATCTGACTTCTCTTTTTGCCAAGAAAGTGGATATCAACGTGCCATATTTGGTTAGGAAAGGCAGCTAAGTATCTTGTCTTTCCTTTTGGCCGATAGGGTCCCCTTGGCGTGCCAAGCCTCTCTCTAAAAGCTCTTTCTACCATATGTCTTGAGGGGGGATGTGGAAGAGGGTTTGTAAGATATTTAATGTTCCTCAGCTCAGATGGAAATGATAATGGAGACTCTTCAATCATAAGTCCGGAAGGAATTGTGGAAGAAATTTGATTCAGGGGCTTAAAACGTTCAATAGCGGAGAACCATGCTTGGGTAGGCGTTGGTGGAAACAATACCCGTCTTCATGTCCAAAAATGCCTCAAAATGAGATTTGGCATATTCGATATCTTTATTTATTTGGTTATAGGCGGAGATTATTCCAAGATGGCCATTCTGCTCAATTAGGTTTCTAATAGTTACCTTAAGATCTTTTGGTACATTAACTTTGGGTCTCCCGCGCTTAAGGGGAATAGACACAGATGGGTGAGGCTGAGTATTGGCAGAGAGCTGTTGCTGTGGGGGAGTGTTGGCAGAGAGTTGTTGCTGTGCCGAGGTGTTGGCAGAGAGCTGGCGTTGTGGGGGAGTGTTGGCAGAGAGTTGTTGCTGTGCCGAGGTGTTGGCAGAGAGTTGTTGCTGTGGAAGAGAGTTGGCAGAGAGCTGGCGTTGTGGGGGAGTGCTGGCAGAGAGTTGTGGCTGTGGGGGAGTGTTGGTACTGCTGGCTAATGAAAGCTGGCGTTGAAGAGGAGCGTTGGCTGTTGAGAGCTGTTGCTGTGGAACAGAGTTTGGTAGTGCTGGCTGATGAAAGCTGGCGTTGTAGAGGAGTGCTGGCTGATGAGGGTTCTTTCTGTATACAAGAGTCGTTTGAACTTTGTAATATCAAATAATCGGTAAGGAGAGTGTCATCTCTGTGTTTCAAAATGGATGAACACTCGTAGAGTCGATTATTATATTTAATGTAGAAAGTAGTAAACTCTTGAAGTTTGTATGTATGATGTAAGTACTCTTCAATAGTAATTAGTCTATTACATAAGAGAGCTTTGTAAAATGTTATCTTGTTAATTGATGAACGAATAGTGTTGTTGACTAATGGAACATTTGTGAGAACAATGGCTAACGGTGTGCGCCTTTGAATCTGTGCTAGAGCTGTTTCAAGCCAAGCTGAATCAACTAAGATGTACAAATTCATTTTAAACAAATTTGAAATGAAATAATTTGTGAGAATTTGAGAATAATTTAATTATTTCAGAAGTCTATATTGAAAAAATATTCTTAACAAAATTAATTTAAATGGTTCAGAAAATAAAAATTAAAATTAATGGAAAAAACATGATTAGGAATAATTACAATAATAAATATCATGGTTTTGGATTATTTAAACAGCTATAAAGAACGAATTTTACAAATTACGATAAAAAAATTATTGAAAAATAATGAAGATGATAAGGATTTGAATCGAAAATTAAAAGGATGATTATGTGTCAAATTAAATTAAAATAAAAATTTTAGAAGATTTAGACAAGAAATAGTGCAAAGAATTAGAATTAACATAAAAATCGAAAATTTAATAAAGGAGAGATAAAATTATTGTAGTATTCAATTGAAAAATTTTATAAAATAAGGAATATTGGTAAACAAATAAGTTTCATCTAAAAAAGGAAAATAAAAATATAAAAATTGAAATAAAAATGTTATAGACCGAAAATAGATTTTTTCGGTTTTCTCTTCAAATAATTGAAAGAATGATACTATTATAGGTTTATTATATTATATAGCATATAATCATGCTATAGCCGAAAATTATAAGTTTTTGAGAAGATTGAATATAACACAAATAAATTTGAATGTAAGTTAAATTGCTTGTTTTTTTTAATAGCTATTTAATGAGAAATCCAATATTGCAAAATTCAAATTGAATGATTGAAAGAACAGAAAAAGTCATTCTTTTCAATTTCGAATATGTTTCATTGTATTTATAATTATATGGCAAATAAGATATTTAAAACTTGATTTTTGAAGGAAAATTCACAAAATTGAATAAATTCAAATAATTTTTATTCAAAAATAAACTAGTTATTTGAGTTTAATACTAATTATCTATTCAAACTACAAAGTTTGTAATTTAAAATATTTTGTGAGATCAGATTGAATTAATTCAAGGTTCTTTTCAATTAATATTAATGACCATATTACGCATTTTCGAACATTCTAAACCAAATATATAAAAATGGGAGACGAATGTTAAATTTGCTAGACATGGGGGAGTTGTCTGCAAAGTTTTAGCTCTTATCTCTAACAAAAAATTAATTTTTAAAAAAATGACCGAATACGTTTCACAGCGAGAAAAAAATAAAAGGCAAGATAGAATTTTCTAGACATAAAGAAGTTGTTTACCGAGTTTTAGCTCTTATCTCTAACAAAAAATTAATTTTAAAAAAAATGACCGAATACGTTTCACAGCGAGAAAAAAATAAAACTGTACACTGATTTTCATTTTCATTTCCAGTCACTTTACTTATTATTTTTTCTTTTTTTCATTTTAATTATAAATTATTTCATAATACGTTTATTTACCTTACCATTTTCTTTATTCTTTTGAATTCCATACTAGACACTTATAGAATATTTTGATTGTTAACGTACTTCATTAGAATGAATCCTTACAAAGGGTATGTCGATCGAATTTACCTAATTGGTATTTCCAATCAGATTGAAGAAGGTAAAATGACATGGGAAGAAGCTTGCACCCATGTTCCCATCGCCCCAACCCTTCAATCAAATGATTTCAAATATTTAGATGTTTCAAAATCTTTTTTACAAAATCAATTTAGCTTACAGAATATCCCATTGCCTAAAGGCAAGAAAGGTCGTAGGGTCAATCCCTACGACCAAATCAAAGCTCTTGCTGTGATACATGACCACTGGGCCTTTCCCTGTGGTCAAACAAAACAATGGAAACGTTTGAAATTACACCAAATTGATGTATCTTATAGAGAAGTACGCAGATACTTCAAAGAAAATCATTTCACCAAGACGCGATTAGAGCATGCCGGGCCAGAAACAGCAGTAAGATATTAGGCGCTTTCACCCAATCTTATCTGGCACGCAGATGTTCATTATTTTAGGGGTGTTCGTGGCCAGTATATTTATGGCATAATCGACGATTTTAGCCGCAAAGTCCTAGCGTGTATACAAATACCAGATATGCTGGCAGCGACGACAGCGAACGTTGCGGCTTCCGCCTTCATTGAATTTGGCGCCCCTTATTGTTTCTGGACCGACAACGGTTCAGAAAATAGGGGCGCCTTTCAAGATCTACTTGATCTTTGGGGCATCCAATGGCGGCATACAGACTCTCATTCTCCCTACCAAAATGGGAAGATTGAGAGATTCTGGCCGACATTGGAGCGCTGCCAAAGCATTCAGGCTATTCCTGCCTTTATTTGGGAGTACAATAATAACACACCGCATGAAGATCTCCCAATTAATCCATTAACTGGAACAAATTACACGCCAAATCAAATGTATCAGCTGAAACCGAAATACACAAATGCAGATACAGAAAGGTTGTGGCAAATATGGGATACAGATACAGGCATGACCGCTGTTGACACATTCACAGCGTAATAATAAACATAATTTTTTAATTTCATTTTTAACAAGTTTTTTTAAATGTATGTAATGAATAATTCATTAGAATATGATAATGCACATTGTAACAGAATAGAACAATCACCAAATTTTTTTGAAATTAAAAAATAAAAGTAAAAAGTATAAAGTAATGTAACCAAAAAAGATATTTAAAAGAATTTTGGAAAAAAGAATAAGGATAATGATATTATTTTAGATACACAATCGATGTACTGAAGAATAATCCGGTAAAATGATGATATAAAATTAGATTATTTTACAAGTAGCTAAAAGAATAAAACTATGAGAGAGGGTCAAAGTTGCTATTTGTCACTTTTCCACAAGAATATAATGGGGAAAAAGTTATCATATAGTTGATCTCATTCACTGAGGTGAGAGATGCATGTAGTGTAATTTGATAAACAGTGGGATTGCTGCTCTAAGTCCTAGGTTCGAGACACATTAGCTTCATTTTTCTCTTTTTTATTGACGTAAACTATTCGATTTTTGTGTTCTCCATTCAAATTTCAGAATTTTTTTTGCAGATTTCACGCT